CACTAATTCCCTCTTACTTTTGCTGTTTTGCTTCCACTTCCTGCACAGCTCTCTCTCTCTCAGTGTACTTCAAGAACAGTTTCCCATCTCAAATCTCGGTTTTCTGCATTATTCGCTTCCTTATTATGCACCAGTCTACTGTTGTGTTCAGCGCTGTTGCACGTTGCTTTTTGTTTTTCTTAAAAATAACCTTCGACAAGAAAGCCTCATTTCTGATGTTCATACCAAAGAAACGTAAACTTTTACAAAATATGCCAAATTGCAAAACACTTAGCTGTGTCTCTAATAAAACCTCTGTAACTTTGCTCAGCCTACATCAGGTAATTTTCATATCTTGATTCACGGTTTTCTTCATCTTTTAATTTTCTGCAGAATATTTTTAAGGTGGTTATCTGCCATAAAAAGCCAGGCCAGGAAAATCTGCATCATGTTTTTCTGTGTTTTATCCTCTGTTACTTTGACACAAAGGCATCTGCTGTGATGCTTACATCTCTGATGAAGTCTCACAAGTATCAGCTTTCTTTTTATACATAGATATAAAAATATGGATATGTACTGAATTATAATATGAATTATAATTATAATATTACAGAATAATACAGAATTATAATATTATAATATGTCTGAGTCAAAATTGAATCAAATTGGGACCTTGTGAATGAGAATTGAATCAGTTGTAGAAATCCGTGACGATACCCACCCCTACTGAGAAATATCATAATTTCTGCCTAGAAAAAGCAAGATGGAAAAACCCAAAATGCTAAAATAAAAAATGGCAAACAGCGAAACAGAAAACATTGGCTACCATCATTTATATACAGGCTTTGTGGCTGTAAATCGATTCTAATTTCTGCTTTTGCCAGGACATCAAGTGGTTGCTTGTTCTCACCCACAGAGGCCTGAGCCTGATGAATGGAGCTTAATTACGTGGACCTCAGGGATAGCCCCGCCTACATTCAAGTGGGCACAACCGTGCACTTCCTGTGGCTGCAAGTCAGAGGTCATGTAGTTGCGAGAGATGAACATGGACTGCAGCTGACACACAGCAGGCAGGTTTGGATCTGTAATATGGAGACAAAGTAAGAGAAAGTTTTGAAATGGACGCTGACCTAATGCAAAAGTCTGGTAGAAGCAAGAGGGGAAATGACTCATCTGACTCATAAGCCATCAGATGTTTGCAGATGTTTGGATTCATCATTTGTTTATTTTACCGTAAATTATTTTTCATTTGTGGATATTTTTGTGTATAAAAACTCCAAAGCTTAAATACAAAATCACCACTAAATTAGATTTTTGAGCACAGGATGTGGATTTGGTGGCTCACCCTCTCCCAGTTGAAGGTAGACTCGATTGCCATGTGATGAGTGTGTCAGAGAGGACAGGTTGCCATGATGCTTCAGAGCCCAGCGATGCAGTGCACGGGGACGAAAAGGCAATGAATGCACCGTCTGGACGTGCAAACGCAGGGCGCTGGACTGTACGCTGGCGTTTGAGGACACCTAGCAGTTGAAGGCAAATATATAATGAATGAAACTGCAGAGTGCACTCTATCAAAACTGCTCTTCTGCACAATGACTGACCTGCACCAGGACCTGGAGGTTGGAGGGCAGTCTCTCGGCCTCCAACCACCAGGTAACTGGGACTTTGGAGATGAGCACTAGGTGGACAACCCTCATAGGAGAAGGAGACAGAGACAGAGGCTTCATCAGCACTGTCACCTATAGGGAGGAGAGGAAAAGGCAGCCCGCTGTACGTTCAGCACTTTAAAGGATAAATGTACTTCAGACAGTTAGGGTAGCTCCAAAGCTAACCACATGTAGCAAACTTAACTTAAAATACACCAAACACATTTACAGCACTTGTACAAATAAAAATGTAACAAATAGAATAAAATAAAACTTATTTGTTAGTCTTGTATTTGTGTGCCTGTGTAAGCAGCTAGAGCAATTAAATACATTTCAGCATTTTTGGTTGGGAAGCTAACGCTACTTAAAATGTTTGGTAGAACTTTATAATATGACCCACAACTAACAGTGTAATTATATGTACCTACAAAGGCTTCCCAGCAGATACAGTAGAATAAAGGGGTAGCAATTCAAGTTTTCACAAGAAAGAAGAAATAATTCTATTGTAAGAGTCGAGGTTTCCTCATTTTACAGCATAAGTGTAGCTTGTTTATCCACTAAATTACCCAGAAGTCACACGTCTTACAACTACTTACAGTATAGTTATTTCTTTCCTCTCAGATCATCTCAGGCTGTGTTTTTTTAACATGGCAGTTAGTTGACTACACTCTCGTGGACTCTGCAGTCACAGATCTCGATCCAAAAGATCACGCTTGGGATGTGGTGGAATCAGTAATGCAACTGTGTGACGCTATTGTCTCAATATGGATCAACATCTTATAATGGTGCCAACACAGTTGTAGCAAGATGTACCTAATAAAAGGGGGAGGGAGTATACATCTCCAATGTCACAGTGTACTAAGCCTGTGATCTTTTGCACAAATAATCGTCTGTTCATCATCGTGTTTGACATTTTTATCATAATTAGTCATTCTAGACTTACAGGAGGTTTCATGGAACTTTGACCCTCTTCCTTCCCCCAACAAGTCACAGAGGTTTCTTCCTGTTAAAAGGGAGTTTTTCCTTCCCACTGTCATTAAGTATTTCCTCAAAAGGGGGTCATCTGATTGTTGGTTTTCTCTGTATTTTTGTAAGGTCATTAGCTTCCCATACAAAGAGCCGACTGTAGATGTAATTTCACACAATATAAATAAAACTATCATCATCAATCATCAGTGAGAGTTTGCACCATATTTAAAGAAATTCCCTCGAGACTGTTGTGACTTTTATTATAAAGAAATGTCCACAAGATCATGCTGAGACTTAATATTATTTATTTATTTTAATGTTTTCCCATAAAATCTGCCTTTTTATAACAGAATCAGCTCAGTGGTGCTACTTCTGCTAAATTCTGTAGGTAATGCCTTTGTGATATAAAGAGAATTAAATGGATTTAAAAAGCTTTTTTGAGATAGTTGAGATGTTTAAAGCTAAACATTATCATCACATTTTAAGGGAAAGCATTTGGCAAAGAAACCTCTTAGTTTACAATCAATGAGACTGATTGATCAGCAAGTGACTGGAATCAGATTTTCCAGCTTTCTTACGGCCTATTTGAGTCAAAAATTTAAAGCTAAAACCCGGACTCAAATAAAAGCCCCCCTGCTCCTGAAGCCGGGGTCCTTGGTAAGGATGGTAAGTAATCGTTAGCCGGCTACCTTGTTTTCTGGGCTGTTGGTCACTCTTCTTAATGCAATGACATGAGTCTCCTTGTTTCCCCGTTCTCTAGCAGCACAGCCGGGACCTGCCTCAAACCTTTCCAGCAGACCCTGAACCGGATGTCGAGCGCCCACTGGACCGGCCACTGAGCAGTGCGGCTCTCCACTCTGAGCTGGAGAGGAACAGTGCATGCATCACTACAAAATGTGTTAAACCTGAAATATATATGCACAGGAAGTACATTCATATCTGCTGCAGCAGCGTGATCACTGTGTAAAATAACAAATAACATGAGACATGAGTGCTTCCCCATGCAGGCCTCGCTGAGTTTCACACTATCCTTCTGTATTCCTCCTTGTTTCATTGTGTTTCTTCTCCTCCTTTCTCTCCCTCTAATGTGTGGGTGACACAGTACTCTGATGTTTCTACATTTTCTCAAATCCCCGCCTTGTCCAAAAGAAAACTATGTAGCAACTTTCACTTTCATTCTGACACTTCAAGTAAAGACCTTTGGCTTGGGCACAGGAAATACCACATTTACAATTCGCTATGTCTTCACGCTGTGTCTCCTGCTGGGTGTCGTTGGACTTACCTTCTGGGTGCTCCAAGAGGAAAGAGAGGAAGAATAAAGTCCATCCAAGTCCATACAGCGAAGGCATCATGACAACTACTTCACCAGACTGACCGAATGCTTTTTTAGTGTAACACCTTAAAAACACAATCAAACGTGCAGTTTATGTGTGATTTTTAACTCAGAGTTATCTCAGTATGCCTGTTTTTCACCAAAGCAGAAAAGCTTCAGATAAGCTTGATTAATAATGATCAAAATAGGGACTTTTGGTTTAAAAAAGCAAGCAACCTTGATATACTCCCCCTGGACACATTATTAGAGACATCTGTTCAACTGGCCATTAATGTAAATATCTCATCAGCCAATCACATGGCAACAACTCACATTTAAGCATGTAGACATTGTCTGAGCTTCAGACCAGGGGAGAAACCTGACTGATGTAACATTGACATGGCCGTTGGTGTCAGACAGTGTGGTTCGAGTATTTAAAAAACTGCTATTTTGCTGGGATTTCCCCAAACAATGATCTCTATGATTTATATAGAATGGTCCGAGAAAGAGACAGCGGCAGCTCTCAGGGAGAAAATGCCTCACTGATGTCAGAGATCAGAGGAGAATAGCCAGAATGTTTCGAGCTGAAGACGACAATAACTCAACGAACACGCTTTACAATCAAGGCATGTGTAATAGCATCTCTGAATGCACAACTCTCTCCCACATAAACAGGACCTCATCTGTACCCTTAATGATGAGTTTTGATACCTTAGTAAATATAAGCAAAGATGTTGTTTGATGAACATTAGAATAGTTCATGTGTTTTTCCAAGTTTAGGTGCATCAGCAGAGACCACCCTCAATAATTTCTGATGCAAGCACAGTTTATAACAGAAACTGCCCGGGTCAGAAAAGAGGTTCAAGGGTCACTCTTAGTAAGCTTTCAAGGATACAGAGTTAATGTACCCATCAGCTGATGGGGATAACACACCATCAGGTAACATCATGGATGTGCAGCAGCTGTTTGATGCTATCACATTAATATGGACCCAAAACTGCTGCAGAAAGGTGTACCTAATAAAGTGTCAGTTTTAAAAAAAACATTTAATAGCAACAATCAACCAATCAACCAAACATGTTCCTCTGGGAAAGAGTTTTGAATGAACTGTCACAATAAAAAACGGTTTCAGTCTTTTAAATAATACAAAAATATTTCGTCAAATTTATGAAATCAAAGCTTTTATCAAACCATTCTGACTTAAGTGCACTGACCCCTGACTTACTCTGTTCAGCTTTTTTTTCCTTTTTGCTTGCAGAAATGCGCTGACATGGAGCAGAACGTGCTTGAGCATCAGTCTGATCCATGCATGGTCCACGAATGTACTGAGAACCAGTCCATACTGCTCAGGAAAGCATGCAAAACATCCTGAGCAGAACAAACACGCGCTCTGCAGTCTGTGTGAGAGCTGCTAACTTGATTCATGCTTTAAGATAGTGAAACATGGAGCCTGGTGTTCTCATAAATGTATTTTTGTGGCTGCTGTTAAATTCCAAGAAAGTTCCGGACAGATAAGTCGTGCTAGTCGAGTCTTCAGGAAATTGCAGGATTCCTAAAAACTCTCTCCCTCCAGCGGTCTGCGCTCTTGGGGTGAATACAGTCACTCACCTGCGGCTCCTCGAAGGCACAGGCTGACTGCTGGTCCAGCTGTTTGCTTCAGACTTCACTGTATTCACAACTCTGCGCACACCCCTCTCATTTCCTAAACACACTATCACACACCTTCAACATGTCAAACAGACCAAATACAGAATAAGTTTAAGAATAAGGAAAAAAAGCGCAACTCTCAGCTGTGCGGGCCATCGGGCATCTTTAGCCCGCTGAGGTGCGTCTTGTAAGAAATAGATTTCTCCGGGTGAAATTCATTTTACACATGGAGTAATGCCGAAGGGGAGGGGGTGTCGGGGGGTGGGCAGCTGTAAAGACACAATTGAAGGGGCAATGGGAGGGACTGCGGGATGGTGTGACAGAGTGGAGAGAGAGACGGCGAGGAGAGGAATAAAAGGCTCTGGAGACGTCTCCAAACGTAGATGGTAACAGGAAGGAGGAGTAGAGGGAGAGAAGGAGGGAAGAGGAGGGAAAGAGGAGGACCAGGGTGGACCTCAGAAGTTTGACTGGCAGGGGAAATGTGAGAGTGATACCGGGAGGCGGGGTGGAGGGTGGTGGGGTATTTAAAAAAAACCAAACCCAGGCACACACAAACACACACATTAACTGGTGTGTCTTCTTATCCGAACTTCTGAAACACCTTTCTAAAGAAAACATGATAGCAAACCAGTGAAAGCCCACAGCAGCTTTTCCCCAATAAGCAGCCTGAGAGCTTGTTCATCATCTATTTTATGCGTGGATGGGGAGGGGCTTGTTTTTTTAGGGACACTGTGCTGATCGCAAAATCTTGTTTTTTCAAACTTTTCAACTTCCACTTTCAAAGTGGAAAGAAGTGATAACAGTGAGCATACATTGTCAAGGTTGTGATTTTGCTCACCTGAAGAGCAAAATCGCAACCTCGCCAACCACAGAGTTTTTAGCTCCATCTTTGGTCTCCCCACTCACACTGCTGAGCCTGCTCGCTGTCCAGTGTGGTGTTGAATAGGCAGTATGAAGGCTTTTTGCCTTCTGGCCAAAAATGTTACTGTGGGAAAGGGAGTTTGCACCAAAGCTGTAGAGTTGTGAGCACAACAACTAAACAAGGAGATAATTCTGCTATAAATTTCAGAAAAGCCAAAGAAATCAGGCGTGATTTCATGTTGTTATGGAAGTTTAGACAGTCCAAATACCAAAGTTTTGCACGAGACAAAAATCTTAAACTGCGCTTTAACAAATGGGCATATCTTCTGAAATGTGAAGCTGACATGGATGTGCCTGAAACCTAATGTCTTTCTAATGGTCAGCAGGGGAGACTCAATGTGATTGTCCCAAAGTGTATGGGAACACAAAACCTCAGCTCCCTCTCTCTTAAAGCTTTCCTGATAAGTCGTGGAGGAAAATCAAATATCATCTCATGATGTAGAGTTTCAAAAAACCCAAACAGATTACTGCAGATCGTGCATTTCTCTGACTTTTACAGTGTCTACATCCTTCTTTTTATATACAGTCCATTAAGTAAACCTGAAATGAATCAGGGGGCTGTACCCAATCAAAATACAAAGATTCTCATCATATCATTGGTGTCACAGTAAGAGGGGGGGACAAGATTTACAGTATTAAAAGACTTGTCTAGTTTCCTCAGATTTTTTAAGAACAGACTGCACACCATGCTGACCTCTTTGTAAATCACCTTGTTGGTGAAAAAATACTATTTTATGTCTGTCAAAGTGTTTTATCTTAGAGTCAACTAAATCAATGGGAACAAACTGTGGTTTAGTGACAGGCTGCAAGTAAATAAAGTGCAATTTTTAAACATGATCTGTGTTTGTGTACTTTAATTGCGTAATAGTTCCCTTAAAGCACCAATAATGATGCCAGCTGGGACCCTGAGTAACTCAGACATGTTTAGTCATCCTTTTACATTTTACCTGTTTTTTTTTTTTCCGTCTAGGCCTTAGTGAGCAGGGATAATCGATCCACTCCCCAAATCCAAAATGCTGTGGGGTCAGTGTGACACAAGAAAGAAATTACACGCACATCTGTGTGCTGCTCTCCTGCAAATCAACCTTCAATTAAAGCAATCACAGAAACTCTGCATACATCTGCGCCATCGCTCAGTCAAAACTCTTTGGACTGGTCGTAACAGACTACATTGTTAGTTTTCATTTTTATTTCATTTTACTTATTGTTTAAAAAGTAAAATGTAAATGGTTTTTATTCATTTTAATGTCACTTTTAGTCCTTTTATTTATTACAGTACGGGGGTTTTCAGGTATTACGATAAACACCAAACACTTTTAGCCTAACAAACTGTTTGTACTGAAGCTTCCCGAGGCTTGTTGACAAATATCACTAAGCTGATATAGAATTAAAATCAAACACACTTCCTGATTATTCTTATTTTATCTTAATTCTGTCGGCTCAAAACATTTTTTCAGGTTTTTGTCTATTTTTTCGTTTTTCTTTTAGTAAACAAAACAAATTCTTCACACCTCTTTTTGAGTTTATTTTTAGTTTAATATAAAACCACAAACCTATCGTAAAGAAACATTTTCTTTGAGGAACCTGGAGTTCAAATCATTTCTTCTATCCGGACCGATAGGTTTCCTTTATTGCTCACATGTGTGTGCGAACAATGTGCTGATGTAAGATTATACAGCAGATGTGTGTGTTGTTGGGGGGGAGGGTGCATTAAATCACCAAATTTTCCAAAGTTTGGGTTCACATTTTTACTGAGTCAACACATTTCACCAGCAAATGACAGAGGAAGAAACACAGATGAGGAAAAAACAAAACTTTAAAATCACAAAAATTGTAAAAGCTTCCTGTCTCTGAAAAACGATTGGAGTCAAAAATCTGTGTTGTACCAAAAGTCGGTGGGAACGCAACACAAAGACGACTGAGCAAGACCCTCCACTTGCTCCTGCCTTTCTTTGGCTTAATCAAAAGAAGAGAGCCCCTCTTTCCTCTGGCTCCCCCGGGTGGTAATGTACGGGTGGTGCACGATTGCGGATCACATGGATACATTCATGACTGAGGCAGGGGACAGTGCACATGGCTAAACACACACTGTAGCAGCAACAGACAGCAGAGATAAAGGGACGACAGAGTGTAGCAAATGCAGGAAAAAAAGAGTGCTTCCTGTCAGAATCATCACATTTTTTTCACTCTTTGTGATTTTGAGGCTCTGTGAGCGTTTCAAACAAACAGCAGGATCTGATAACCTGGATTATCTTCAGTTCTTCTCGTGACCCCCCACCCCCCCACCCCCAAGACAGTCTGTTTGTCAATGCCTGTGTTTGGAACGCGCAATCATTGACGCTCTGCCCGGCCAGTGCTTCGTCTCATCGTGAGCACGCGGAGAAGAGAGTGCTCCTCGCTTCTCATCAACATCAAGTTCCTCTGTGCTTTTACAGCAGCCTTTCACTTCTCAGTCTCCTCTCAGAGTCTGTGGCTGGCAGTGGGAAGCTAATAACCCTTTGACCTCTGACCGCGGAGCCTAGCAGAGGTCAGAGACGTAGTCAAAATCCTTAAAGTAATCTTGCTCCCTACGGGAGAGGGCTCGGCGCTCGCGGGGCGGCGTGAGGGTGGGAGGCTCGTTGGTGAACTCCTCGTCGAAGTTGCTGACGTCTTCTTTCCCCACTATGTTGGGAACGAACGGGGGCGGGACTTTTCTCTGCAGGAGCGCCTCCCAGTCCATTACCTGAATGGGATTTAGGTTTAGGTAGCTGTCAATCAACGTTCTCGCCAAGGAAAAAAAATATGAAAGAAAAAATGCTCACCCTGAAAAAAGGCTGCTTTTTAACCTCTTCTGCATCCTTTTCTCCAGAACCGAGACGTCTTTCGGGATTTCTTCTCAACAGCTAGAAAAAAACAAAAATTTCATTTATGAGCACAAAAAAAAGTGAAGACATATAAAAACCTTCCTAAACAGAAAGCGCTATATAAATGCAATCCATTATTATTATTATTATTATTATTATTATTATTATTAGAAATACACAAAAGCCCAAAATAACTTTAAGAAAGCATCGTCAGTCTGACCCGTCTCATGATGCCGATGGCCTCAGTGGTGAGGAAGCGCGGGTAGCGGACTTCATCGTTCACTATGCTGTCAAAAACCTCCTCTTCATCATCACCTGGGAAAGGAGACTGAAACAAACATTATACATTACACATCTGTAAAATCTGATTAGGTTAGCTAACAAATAACATCAACCAGGAACAACTCATGAGTTGTAAATAATTTTTTATCTTTATGTTATTTCATCCAACATTTTGAAAGGAAAAAACGGCTTCAAAATGTCACTTTTTGATGGTTTGACCGAGTGAAATATCCCATTAATGCATGCAGTTGTCTGGTCTGTTTAAATAAATGTCTCCACTATGAGAATGACCCAGTGTGATAAAACGGCAAGTGCTCAGCTATCAGGGAAACAGCTGCTTTTGTGACACTGGCTATAAGTAAAGAGTTAGACAGCGTCTGTGAGAAGTCTCGTAAACAGGTTTTAGTCTTCGAGGTCCTGCCGACAGTTACTGCCTGTATTATGTTACAGCTCAGCTGATGGTAGAAGTAGATGGAAGAAGAGGACACGGATGAGACTGAAAACATGAGGTAAGTTTACGATATAAGGCTTAATTTAATTATTCTAAAAAATAAAACGTTTTATTCATCTACATTCTGTAGCATACTCATCATTAGTTACAGTGGTATTACACTGTAACTAATGACTCTTGTCACACTTGGTTTAACATTTAACCAACATTTAACCAACCACACACTCAATATATTTATGGACAAAATGCTGACTTTAAGTAATTTGATTATATGTAAATTTTTCATAGAATATTGGTACATGAGTACAATAAAAATGTTACATTTAATGGAACCTGGTCAAATGAAATTTACATGACAGGTATAAATTAAATTAATGATTCATTATTAAGATAAATAAACATTGGAGTTTATATATTTCAGCTGCTCTTTTAAGGAGCTTCGAAAGAAAAGCATCTGGACTTCTTTAAGTTGCTTAAAGACGTTTCACCTCTCATCCGAGAAGCTTCTTCAGTTCTAGGGTCAAATGGTGGAGAGTCCCAGATTTAAGCCCTGTGGGAGTGTCCCCCCGAGAGGGAGAAAGGACCCCCCAATGATCCTCTACCTAACCCCACGACCCAAGGTGTGAAAATGGGTGTGGGTCACAATCAGCCAAGGTTTGGGGTGAACTCACTGTGAAATCTAGCCCTACCCTATCATGTGATTACCCGAGGTCAGAAGGCCCAGGACGTTGTAGAACTTTT